CCTTGGACAGGGCCTGAATGTTGATGTCATGCAGCAACGTGCACTCTAGGACTCCTTGGCCGGTCCGATCGTCCGTGTTTCTATTAACGGGGGGGGGGGGGGGGTGGCACGCGCATACCCTTAACTCCAAATCCTCAATCACAAAAGTCTATGTCTGTGTCTCCTACAAACACATAGACCGTTGACACCCTGTCCTGTAAACCGATGAGCTCTAAACCTGAAACACATAGTCCAGGCACTAGTTCGCCTATGGTTTCCTTACTGTACCTACCAAGTCCCATTCAGCTTCTTCTAGATCAAGGACATGTTCAGGTGGCCGGTTACCGTTATAGGAGCCTTTTAGANNTATACACCTTATGGAAGCCTTATAGAAGCCCTATATACCCTAAACTCCCCACCTGTAGTTTCCTTTGACTAGAACACGATCCGAGTGTTTCAGAGGCTTTAAGGAGCACCGAATCTAGACCCCGAATAACACCCGAAAGCAATGTCCCGATGTCAAGATCGAGCAACACAAACCGCCAAAGGAGCCGACACACGATCAACACAAAACCATAGTCTGTAGGTTCTATAGATTCTAGATCCTCAAGCACCTTGTAGCATGAGTCGTTGCATGAGACGCTGCACCTGTATTCCTGCAGCCGTAAACTACAGTCTCAACCCCAAACCCTGAATTTGTTTGTTGGTGACAGGCTGGGTTGACGCGAAAAATGAGCTTAAACAGATGCCAAGCAAGGTCGGCCTCCGTGGGGAAAACTTCGTCCCAGGCGCGAAGGAGTCATCACCCGGAAACCTGGCGGAAGACACTAAATTTTAAGGTTCTAAACCCTAAGTAACCTACCTTCAGAAGGATTTCTTCCTATTAAAAATTCACACGAAGGAACCCTGAGAAGATAGAGAAAACGACCCAGCGAAACCCACTACCCAACACCGGCCTTACGAAGACGACGGAGCCACACAAACATGACCAAGCAACATCCTGTCTCACATGGGAGTTTCCGAAAATTAGGGGGGTACCTTATTTTGGGGTCGTTATAATAAGGATCCTACTATTTAGGGTATTTAGGGTACTATATATATTAGGGTCCTCTATTTTCGGAAACCCTCACATACTGGGAACAGCAGATGTCCAGACGCCTGAACAACACGTGGATCTTGACTGCTGCATACGGAGCCGGCACCTAAACTCCAAAGACTCAAACAGAGGGCCCAAACCCCAGGGCCCAAACCCTAGGGTCCAAACCCTAGGGCCCAAACCCTAGGGTCCAAACCCTAGGGCCCAAACCCTAGGGCCTTTCTTTTGCTGCTGCACCGAGCCGACGAGTCCCTCGACTCGCCGTGTGGCGTCGAAGCTGACATGCCGACTGCGTGTCACTCAACACCCAGTGCGGCATAACATAGAAGGCAAATAGTTGAGAACATTATATACCGCACAATCCACCCCCCCCCCTCCCTCCCAAAAAGAAACAGGCAAGTATTCTAATCGTTAAGGCCCCTTCTTGTATATTCATATCCTATAGGTACGGAAACCCACACTCCGAAGTCAATTTCTACACCCATCTGGGCCTTGAATCCCGAAAAGCCTAAAAAGTTGAGGGTTTAGGGCTTTAGGGGTGTGGGGTTTGGGTTTTTGGGGTTAGGGTTTAGGGTCTAGGGGGGTGGTATGCCTGACAAGAAAATGTCTGAGCACGAAGACTCTTAGCCCAAAAGACCTCAAAAGGCACCAAAACTCCAGGCCCAAAGCCCTATAGCACTGGCCCCTGCAATAGCCCGTATTGTGGTCCTGTAAGCCCTAAACCCCCCCCCCCCCCCCCTCCCTCCCCGCTTCAAAACAAACATCGAAAATAGCTGAACCCTACCTATAGTCTCCATTGTAGTTCCTTTTTTTGGCTTAACCAATTCTGCCTTGAGGATTCTAACCCCAAAAAGGAATTACAATGGAGCCTATAGGTAGAATATACACCGGAACCATGATAGGATTGGTTTCGAGGTTGGGGATTTCGTATGTTGGACCTGCGGCTTGGATACAGCAGTCCCTTGCAAACAAGAGTTTCGTCGCAAGTCCCTGTATTTGGGTTCGTGTAAGTTAGTTTGAAGTTCGGAGAACTCAACAACTGTAGGTGGACGCCAAAAACCCCAACACTTGGAGCAACTGGAGGTCCTTGTAGCTCCCTTCTTGGACGGGGCCGCTGTCACTACTTCAATTGGCAGAAGGGCTTGCCCAATGTATCCCAAAACATTTTTTCACCGAGACCGTTGTTACGATGTAGCACCCTTTGTAGGATAACCTTCTGGACCTTTTTGTTTAGGACCCTGTAATAACAACATAAGAAGTAACCAAAAATAACCTGCAAGCATTAAGGCAGAACCGTAGGGTGCCCTGATGAGGCCAACAGAAGATCCCGAATAGTTACCTATATTCTTCCCTCGGGTTCGTTGCTGTAGTTTTACTATAACCCTAAGGGTCCAAGTGCCCAAATAGTAGGGTTTCAGGGTCCAAAAACCATTCAGAGTATGGATTTTGGGACCTAAAACCTTCCTATTTGGGTACTCGGACCCTCTGGGTAACAGACTTCCCAAAACCATAGTCTTATTTACAAGGCCCGTACGTTATCTTATGTTTGTCCCTGCAGACGACCTCAAATCCTAAACCCCTCAACCCCTGAACCCTAAACCGATAGGCACCATGCTGCGGAATCCTGTGGGGATGACAAAGACGAAGGTCACTTCAAATGGCAGCAGCCTCGGTGGGTTTAGGGTTTAGGGCTTCTCTTAGTTTGGAAATGGAAGCTTGAGAGCTTTGTGTTTAGTTTTGTAGGGTTTAGAGTTAAAGGTTTAGGGTTTATTAGGGTTTAGGGTTTAGGGCTTAGGTTGTTAGGCATTCGGGTTTTGGGGTTTTGGCTTCAGCGTTTGTGGCTGTGTGGTCTTGGAGTTTCGGGGCCGAGGGTTTGGGGTTTGGGAATTTGAGGGTCTATGGTTTCCCTAAACCCTAAACCCTAAACCCTAGGTTCGGGGATTGGGTTTTGGGTTTTAAGTTGGATTTCGGCTGCATCACTGGGTGTTTGTGGAAGTGTCTTGTGTGCGAAAGTGTGTAGGTCGTGTCAGGGCTCCCCCTGAACCCTACACCCTACCAGGAGCCCATGGGATCAGGACGACAGGGCAGTTGCGGCAGGCTGTTTGTCTGACATTCTGGCAAACAAAGGCGCAGTCGTGCGACGGGCAAACCAAAGCCTGCTCACATTCGGGAAGTTCTTCAGCAAAAAGGACCTTGAGATCCTCTCAGACACCACGATGGGCATTCATGCAAAGGCAGACCAGATAGCATGCTTCGCTAGCTCGAAACTGCGTGGGGTACTATGACTTGCCTTTACTATCTACAAAGAAGTACCTATAGTCTCCAATGTAGTTCCTTTTTTTGATTTAACCAAATTTATATTAAGGATCCTAAAGGGTAGCCCCAAAAAGGAACTACAATGGAGACTATTGACGGGCTCCTCGGCTTTCTAAGCAGATCGATAAAGTACCCAGTCTGGGGTTAACCCAGAAACACGAGAATACTTGTTCACCTATCCTGGTATTCCTTAGGACAGGTTTTTCATAATGAAAAAGTGTCCAGGGTTCCTTTGAGTCGTGGGCAGACGCTTATTCTAGCTGTCAATTCCTTCAGCACCCTTATCCATGAGGCGACATTTTTGAGTTACTGTTTTTGATTTTTGCGTGCTTGTTTATTATGAATAGGCCTGGAAATAGCAATCGTTTCAGCCGACAAAATTTGCAGGGGACTGTGTGCGCGGAAGCACGCGGAAGCTCTGCGGAAGCAATCGCTCCGCGGAAGGTCCCACGGAAGCTCCATCTTAAGATATGTCATGCCGCAGATATGCCAGAGACCATTCAGGGAGGATTGCAGGCTCCAGAGTAGTGCATGTAAGCTTGCATCCTTCTTGGTGGTTGAAGCTACACGAGCGGCTTGCCCAACCAAATAGCCTCCTCAAGACTCGAGACCGCACTTGCGGAAGCAAACCCCGCAAACTCAGCAAAACAACCGTTGCGGAAGGGATCCGCGGAAGCGATATGAAAGTTGAGGCCCGTGGAAGCGAAACCCTCGCGTGCGGAAGCACGCGGAAGGGTCCTGCTTAAGGGTTTCGTTATTTCCATCCACACAAACTCGAATAAAAACCACAGCTCAAATATGGCTTGCACTAGTAAGTTCACAGAGCCATTAAGTAGACTTAACGTTTAGGGTTTGGGGTTACGGATTAGGGTTGAAGGGTTTAGCGGCTTAGGGATCTAGGGGTTTGGGGTTAGCGTGTATAGTTTGGGGTTTAGAGGTGTTGTTTGTATGCTCTGGGGTTGAGCTTACATAGAGCCTCCCTGGAGTGGACCACTAGCCCCGACAAGCCCTACGGCTCCATGCGCCTATGTCCTTAAAGTGATCCACTTAAGGGTTCTATAATTAATGGTACCATGAGGGTTTAGGGTTTAAGGTGTAG